GATAAGTTTACAATTGATAACCTTTCATACAACAAACACAGTGATATTGTCCCATCTTCACCTACTACGTCATTGTATTCTAAAACAAGAAATCGGAAAGAGTATAGCCAGGAAGATTTAACTTTAGTTAATAAGCATTTAAAGCAGTTTATCGATTCAAACACAACATTGTTAAAAAAAGAAGTGCAACAGTATTTAGAATCAGTGCCAGAGTGCAATACACTACTAGAAAAGTTTGGCTTAAGATCGTTAATTATTAAAAGTCGTACAGAAAAAGGAAAACATTAAATATATTTGCCTTTGTACTTTGGTTTGGTTTTTTGGTGATATATATATATATATATATATATATATATATATATATATATATATATATATATATATATATATATATATATATATATAAAACTATTTTTCTTCTAGTGTGTTTATAAATATAGAATATCTTTAATCGGTAAAGTTCTTTTTTTTAATTAGTTTTTTAGTTTCATGATGTTAAATGATAATGAAGTAAGATAATTAATAGGTTCCCTAGTTATTGGTCGTGATAGGTCCTCGTCTATGGAGTACATTCTCATAAAAATTGTTTTTTTTTTTCATGTCCCTATGAAATAGAGAAATTTTGAAACCCTCTAAAAACCCTCTCTTGAAACCCTCTAAAAATGTAAAACTGTATAATAATAATTTAAAAGCAAATAATAGGCGCGAATTAAAATTCAAGTTTGCATATCAACATTATTAAACAAGTTAACTAGACGTAATTATGCAGAAAGTAGCCAGCCAACAATTTCTTTCCATAAAAAAGTTGGATAGGGGGCAAGTGACCCTTGATCTCCCTCTCCCTCTGGTGTCGTCGGCCCTGTCCAAATTAAGGTTGATGTCAAAGAATGAATAAAGGTAAATTCTGTGCTCTACTAAAACCAGCCAGGCGGCTTTCATATGAAAGCTCACTGTAATCGTCTTACAAAAACTTTTTTTTCAAGATTGATTAATATCTAGGCATAAATGCTTTTATCTGAGAGTTTTTTTTCAAACTTCCTTATCCACGTCCGTCAGTGTTGCCTAAATTTATTATAAACTTAATTATAAACTTAAGGCCGCAAAGATTCTTTTAGACTCCGCGCTTGAAAAAGTCAAACAAAAAATGTAATGTTTTTTTTACGTTGAATATTTTTTTTCTTGTTATCTAGATTATCTGGAAAACATCGTTTGAGTTTGGTGTGCTCTTTATAAATCTTATTAGACTTGACTTGATTATGCTATAGCTTAAATTTACTAAAATTAAATTTGTTTACTGTCGAATACGTTATTTTTTTGTTTTACAGTCGCTCACAATAAATATGTTATAACAACAATTCATTTCAAGACCTTCATTTTTATAACCAGGGCCGCCGCGTAACACAGCAGGGGACAGCAGCCCTAATTAACGCCCATATTTATCAAAATTTTTCTATATTATCGGTGAAGTACCTCTTAAATTTATTTTCAGGTACCTTTTTTTTTATTTGGCACCATCTTGGACATCTGCCGCCCGGGGAAAACTGTCCCTTTTGCCCCCTCTTCACGGCAACCCTGTGTATAATCATCTACATTGCAAACAAAATTGAAAATTGTAATAAGTGAATTCTTTTATCTTAGGAGATATATTTTTTTCCTTTGTTTTTTTAATTTATTAATTTCCATAACTTGTTCGGCTGTTCAGCAATCAGCTTTATAAAAGGAGTTAAACAATTTGGTGATGCGCATTACAGGTCGCGATTTCAGGCATTTATATAATGTTGTTAAAGTATTAAACCAAAAAACTATAGTTTCAAAACATAGCAACCTAGGGGTTCTCTTTTATTTTGCTAATTCTTATGTGAACAAAATTTTTGTACAATCCTAATATTTGTCATAATTCAACATTTTTACTTTAGAGAGGGGCGGGTTACTTTGTTTTGCATTATCCACTCCTCACCCCACCCACCGATTTTTTGACTGTTATTATATGTAGTTTAATGGCTTTTAAAATTTCACTTATTGAAAACCCACATATAAGAAACGTTTCATTTGATTAAAGTTTACATCAAAAAATCTTTAGTATTTAAATGTAAGAAAATACCGTAGCCCTCATGCTACGCAAAAAAAGTATTGGAAAATTAATTTAAACACGTTAGCTATTACATATAATTAAAAACTTTTATATATTTTTTGTGCAAATAACATCAAGATAAAAACTTCATAAAAGGAAAACCTTACTTACTTTTGGTTACATAGTTGTATAAATTAGGCTATTTTGCATTGAAAAAATTCAAAACTCAAAATTAAGTTCACCACAACTTTAAATAAGTTTCCGTGAACTTTTTGGACGATGAAAAAATCTAATTTTCAGTAGTAGCAAATGAAATACTTGACTAAAAATTGTGGAATTTTGTGATAAGTGTGGGGAATTTGTTCCTTTTTAATAAAAAAACAACCTTTTTATGACATATTATGAAAATTCACTAATAATCCGAAAAGCCCTTATGTTACGCATTGCTACAACTACTGTCATTTTGTGTAATAATTTTCTATCGTAACCATAAAAAATTTGATTTTTTTGTTAATATTATAAAATTATAAGATAGATTTTGTCAAAAACATTTAAAAAAATTAGACTTTTCAAAATTTGTCTCTCCCATTTTTACGCTAGACTGTTTAGTAACATGAGGGCTCGCGAGCGGAGTTATAGTAGTAGTAGTAGTAGTAGTAGTAGTAGTAGTAGTAGTAGTAGTAGTAGTAGTAGTAGTAGTAGTAGTAGTAGTAGTAGTAATTTCACTTTTAAAATATTTGAGATTTTTTTAAAATACATTTTTAGATGTCTAGGAATAAAAATGGAAAAAAGCGATCAAAACCTAATGTTGATAGTGCAACTCTTGCTGCAGAAGCATAAATGAAAGGTGGATTTCCGGTTAGGACTGCAGCACGATATTTTAGTATCAGCAGAACAACACTTCAAAACAGAAAAAATTTTGTCAGAAGGATAGTTCTAAAAATACTGAACCAACATATCAATATTTTAACCGATGTGCTGTTTGGAATGTATTCTCTAATGATGAAGAAAAAGCTTTACTTGAGTACCTTGTCATTGCAAGCAGTATGCATTGAGGACAGTCAAAGCCACAGCTCATAAAGCTTGCTTTTGAGTATGCAAAAGCTAAAGCTAAAATATTTCGAACCTCCTGGGACAAAAATTGTAAAACCGGTGGGCAATGGTATTCTAATTTTATGAAAAGAAATAATAAGTTTTTTACACTTGGGAAGCCGTAAGCCACAAGTTTAGCAAGAGCCACTAGTTTCAGCAAAGCAAATCTTTTTTTTTTTCAAAATATCTCGAAGTCTTCTCAAAATATGGTTTTAATTGAATGCATCTTTAATGTGGATAAACAGTTGTTACAAATGCGCACACACCTGTTAAGGTTGTAGCACCAAAAGGCAAAAACAGATTGGGAGCTTAACTTCTGGTGAACGAAGAACTAATATAACTATTATTAGCTGTGTGAATGCAATCGGAAATTCCATACCCCCTATGAGGATTTTTCCAGGAGTGAACTTCAAAAATCATATGCTTAAAGGAGCACCTCTAGAAACTAAGGGAACAGCACATATAAGTAGATGGTCAAATGCTGAAAATTTTATTAGACATTTTGAAACATTTTATTTACCATATCAAATGTTCTATAGATCAGCCAGTATTATTACTATTGGATAACCATGAAAGTATTGAAGCAATTACTTCAGTTAATGAAATTAGTATAATAATGCTTGCTTTTCATCCACATACTAGCCATATACTTCAGCCATTAGACAGAGGTGTTTTTGGACCTATAAAGAAATACTACAGAACAGCTTGTAGTGATTGAATGCTGTCAAAGCCAATCACCATATATGACGTTGCAGAAAACATTGGCAAATATTATCCTTTGGCTTTTACTCCTTCAAACACTCGATGGAGCATCATATAGCTCAAGCATATATTGATTACCTGGCCATACACCAAACACACTCACGTGTGTTTGGTGTATGGCCAGGTAATCAAAACGCTTTTACTGATGATGAATATTTGAGTTCAAGTGCGCGGTCTTGAATTGGGTCATTGAAAAAATCCGGTCCTAGGTACACGAACTTTCCCTATTTAGCGCAAATAAAATATTGTTAAAACAACTTTAATGTAAAAATAGGTTGTTGCTATGAAAAAATAAGTACCATAGCAAGCAAGTTACAACATATGTAATATCTGAACGGGGATTTAACGGGACAAGCGATCAATGAAAACTTGATGGAGCATCATATAGCTCAAGCATATATAAGAAGCACATGGCAAATTGTGGCAATAATTAGCTATATTGCGGCAAAAAAATTAATTTTTTAAAGATTTTTTAATCTGTGATTTATTTTAATATAATTTTATAAGATAGATTTAATATAAATAAATTTTCAAGATTAGACAACTAAAATTTTTTTCATTTTGTCCACTTACCACTGTGCAGTTTTAGACTTCTCGTTTCATTTATTTTTTGCTATTTTAAGTTTAGTAATTTTAAACTTATTTAAATTACAAACAAACAAAAAAAGTTTATTAAAGTATACAAAAAAATTATATTGTTTTATAATATACACTTTACAACAATATGAAAAATGTATATAACTTTATAACATATATTAAGAAAAGATGTTAAAACTCAAATTTTTAAAAAACGTTAAACCAAAAAAAAAAATTTTAAAACTGCCTTTTTGAATGTTCAAATAACTAATTAGAATATATCCAAACTTTAAACTTCATCTATTTGTCAAAGAATTTAAGATGACTTGAGAAAATTCATCCCAAAAAATAAAAAAAATATTTTCAACATGACACTTGAAAAGATGCTTTCATCTTTTAATTTTATCCAATATAAGGTTTTTCAGAACTTAGACAACATTTTATTTATAATTTACATTCATTATATTATATTATTTATAGTTTTTTTTCACCCATTTTGACTCCTTTGATTGATTGAACGTCGTCTTAAGATCATCAAGACAATCTTGATCACCTAAAAAAATTAATATTATCAGTACACTAATTTAATAAAAATAAATAAAATAAATATGTTTGATATCAGTCATTTATATTAAACATGTGTTTTCATGGTACTTCCCTAATATAACATCGCTAATTAACTAAAGATTTTTTTTTTCAAAATTTCTAAATATAAAATTTACTTTATTTTATTATTCTTATATTGCATCAATAATCTTACTGTTTTCATTTTTCATTTTTTTAGTTTTCATTTTTTTCAGTTTTCATTTTTTTCAAAATTTCTAAATATAAAATTTATTATTTATTATTTTTATATCACATTTTTAATCTTACTGTATCTTTTCCTTATTTTCTTTAAATTTGTAATTTTTATTGTTTAGGTGCCAACATTCATTAATGGCACTTTGAACTCTCAATGTTTCTAAATATTATTTCTTTTATTGTATTGTCTTAAACAAATTCCTTTTATTGTATCATCTACACATTGATATTGCATTATTCATTATTATAATTCAGCAATTATTATGAAATTGACGAAATATGCTGAAAAAGATGCTGATATTAAGGTAGCAAATGTGAAATTTCAGCATAATATAGGCAACAAACTCTTTATTTCAACATAATATGAAAACGTTATTCTAAAAATTTAAGTGGAAAGTCAGATTTAAGTCTGATTTATAAGTCAACCCAATTAACAGAAAATTTTTTTATTTATATATTAACAGAAAACAAGTTACCATCAAAGAACTAAGTTCTACAAACTTTTCTCCGGAATACACATAGCATAAGAGACAGTGCATGTTTCATTACAGATTGAATTTTCAACTTTTAGCAACCTCACAATTTCATAAGACATGTCAAAAAAACATGTTTATACTAATGTTAAACTAAAAAAGAATAACCAGTTAAACAGAATGAATAAAAAATTAAACAGAAACTAAAAAAAAAAAAGAAAAATGTAAAAGATTTTTAAGAAATAATTTATATTGCACATAAAGTTGCACATGACAATGCATGTGAAGATGCACATGAAGATCACATAAAGATGCACATGAAGTTGCACATGAAGATCACATAAAGATGCACATGAAGTTGCACATGAAGATGCACATGAAGACGCACATGAAGATGCTTTGGAATTAATAAAAATTAAAGAATATAAAATTTATATAACTCTGTAGAAGAAAAGGAGACAAAGCCACATGGGTCAAGTTGATACAACATCCAATAGTTCAAGTTAATTATTTAATTTGCAACATGTTAGTCCTAATAAAATAAAAGCACTAAAAATTTCAATGAATTATAATGTTTTAATAAAAGAAAGTTTACAAAATATTTAATGCTTTAATAAACCAAATTCTCTAAAACTAATAAGTTAATTTTCTTTTAATTCAAGACATTTATATTTTTTAGTTACTTGTACTTTACTTAAAAGAATAACAGAAAAATCATTACTATATACAGAATGTCGAAACCATGTTCATGATGTATATTTCTAACACATGTGTATAAAACTTGTTATGGAACATCTTCTGGTGTAAAAATTAAATTGTTTTTAAAATTTTGCGATCAGTGAAGCAAAATTAATTCTGATTATTGGCTTCTTAATGATAAAGATCTTGAAGTGCATGTACCACTCATATCATAAACCATAGAATTTGCTTAGAGTACTCCTCAAGAAACATCAATCTTTTTTGAAAAAATTCTTCTAGTACCAAGAGGAATATCTTACAAATCGTGTTCAAGGTGCTATGCAGCACAAAGAACGATGACATCAAAATTACTTTGTTCAATAAAAACCTATTTGTTTTAACACCAGTTTAAGTTAACATAATGGGAAAATAAAAATCTGCTAAGATTTTTCATTTTTTCAATTCCGAATAACACGAAAGATCAATTTAGGCCACTTAGTTCTTTAAAAAGCAGATGCTTTCATGAATGCTCTTTAAGGCATTTTTTTATTGGTACCTTACGGAAGACCTAGCTTTTACTCTATAACATACCAAGAAAAAAATGTTATAATCTATTGAGAAATCTGCAAAGAGAAATCAAACAAGTGCATTACCATAATATCAGGATGCAAAAAATAACACAGGTAAAAAAAAATACAACTTGACATAATGGTGAAAAATAAGTTGCATATTTAAAATCAAAATGAGAAATGCTATACAAAAAACATATTGATTACTCAGCGCCAGAAAAAAAAATGTATTGCCCTGCATAATTAATTAAATGAAATTTTTTGAATAATTTAGCTAAAAGAGAAGCGAAACCTTTTTTAAGACACAAAAATACTGGTGAAGAACGAATCACAGTTCATTTTGTGATCTGTTAAAAAACTAATTTTCAAAATAAGGAAATCAACAGTATTTTTGGTTCAATTTAATTTTTATTATTTTTTAATATTTAAATAGTCAAATACAAAGTTAAATTAAAAAAAAAAACTCAATTCTGAAATTATTCAATAAATTCTGAAAAAATACTTAAAAAGACATTATCTAATTTGGAATTTTTATTTAAGTTTTATATTTAGGTTAATAAATATTAGTATTTCATATCTGAAACACCTCAATTTAAAATCTAACATATTCAACAAGATATTTATATAAAAATATGTTCTGAAAATTAAAAAATAAAAACTTACATTGAGTTTTTTTCTGTAGATATCCTAAAACATTTATTCTTCTTATACATATTAAAATCGATTTCAGCTCCACGATCCAAAAACTCTTTACACTGATCATTTATATACAAATAGCTGTTTAATTTGGTCCACAGTTGATCTTTATTATTGCTTACTTTAATTCTCATTATATGAACTAAGTTCTCTAACCATGTATTATCATCAATAACTGTAGTAGAGCCATAAACCACAACTGTTAGAGAAAAATTGGATCTTGTCAAGGCATCCAAAAAAGGATGAAAATCACTCTCCTCTGGCCTTAAAAACACAATTACAGATTCAGATTCTGCTCCAGTAAATCCCTTGCTATCAGTTACAAGAATATTAAAGTTATTTTTTATCATATCTGCAATTTTAATTTTTTCTTCCAACGGCGGTGAGTATCTCTGCAAATGTGGTGAGTAATGTACAGCTTTAAAGTTTCCCATAACATCTATTGCATATGCAACTGATTTTACTTCTTCCATGTTACTGCATATTATAACAGATTTTCTTATTAAGTCGAAACAAAACCTTTCTAAAACAAATGATAAAACTTTTGCCGATTGTATTTTTAACAATTCAAGAAAAGGGAGATAAATCACCCTAGGCTTTACTGATTTTGTATCTGAAATTGTGTTAGGAACATATAAAAAAGTTTTGGATTCAATCAGGATTTCTCGTGCAGAATCTATAAATAATTTAACATAATTTGTTCCTCTAATTACATTATTTAGACTTATGGTTTCCATGCCAACTACATTTTGAGAAAACAATTTCTTTAAATATTTTGTTTTACCAGATGGTTTTATGATCATAACAACTTTACATTCTTTTAACTCAGAAAAAAACAACTTCTTCAAATCTTTTGCATCTTCTTCATTGACACATTCATCAGAAAGTTCTTCAAGTATAAAATGAACTTTATTATTTTGGGTGCTGGCTAAATACTTGAGTAATCCAGGCAGAGAAATATTTGTTTCAGAAATATCTTTGTCGTTACACCTCTTTTTCCATAACTCATATAAATTATCGCAAACAACAGTAACATTCGAAGTTTTTTTAATTTTGTCAACGAAATCTTTCATCTCGCATTCAAACATGGAGAGATAGTTGCAACATATATAATATAAGGTCAAGGGATTTTCTGACATATTACTCATAAGACTTTCAACTATCTTTTTTCCAACAACAGATTTTCCTGAACCATATGTTCCAGTGATAATTTTTATACGCATATTATTATTTATTGCATTTATCTGTTCATTGTTAAGAGCCCATGGTTTGATCTGCATTTGAGGACTAGATTCTGAGGCCAAAGTTGAGAGTAAACTAGCATCCTTAGTGTCAAATTTGCCCATGAAAAACAGAGCTAAACCAATAAGTTTTTTAAAAAGGAATTCATTGCATGCGGGAAATGTATTTCTCCTGCAGTGATAATATGCAATAGTTAACCTCCACCAGTTTTCAAAATTTTTACTATTGTTTAGTTCATCTTGACATAAAAAAAAAACTTTGTCTAAATAAAACTCCTCAGAGAACTGGAAAAACATCTCTTCTTTTAAATCACTTCGCTTAACAGGCAAAACAACAATACCTAATAAATTTAACTCTTCATTCTCAAGAAGAGACTTGTTTATATTGTAAAATAACATAATGTCATTTAAACAGTTTGCACATTCAGGTTTAATCTGCTCTAATGAAGAAGCAATTCGCACAAAAATAATAAGACTATATTTTGAGATAAAAATTGATAACTTATTTTCATCTCCAGAAATAGTTAAATTTTTCAAATTTTCATCAAAACTATTTGAAAAATTAAATGAATAATCATTTATAGGATAATTGATTAATACAGCACGAATGTATTCAACTTCGCGTAAAACTTCAAAAAATCTGTGAAACACAGTGCTAAGGTTGTCTTTTTCACCAAACTTATTATAATTAAGAATCACATTATTGTTAGGAAAATATTTGTCTATGTAGTTTACAGCACCCACTGCAATGTTTTCATCAGAGAACCCTGGTTGGTTGATACCAAGTGAGAGATGCCAATCAAAAAAATCTAACTTTCTTATGCTTTCAGTGAAAACAATGACTTCAGGCGATGATACAAGTAACTGATTACAATTGAACTCATAGCAACACATATCTAAAAAAAAAGAAAACAACAATAAATTATATATATATGTATATATGTATGTGTGTGTGTGTGTGTGTGTGTGTGTGTGTGTGTGTGTGTGTGTGTGTGTGTGTGTGTGTGTGTGTATTCCTATACTTTACAGCTAAGAAAATGTATTTGTGGTAAAAAAATAGCTCTTTACTTGTTTGTGGTTTTAAAGCTGACATAATTACGGTTAGATTATGTCAAAACACATTAATTTAATTGCAGGAAATTATTAAACCACAAAACTACAAATTAAAAGACTAGAATGTTTTTAAAAACATTCTGAATGTTTTTAACATTATTTCACTAAAAAATATATATTATAGGCAACCATATTTTTTAACCGACAACAGATGTGGTGTAACAACTGACTTATACAGGAACTGGAGGCAGAAGTGGGCCATAGCATCCATTCCTGCCGAAGTCTGCATGTATGTATCTTTATGTATATATATTAGTATAAAATAAAAAATAATATTAAGATTATCAAACATGCATGTCACTTAGTGAAGAGCTTTTACATTTTGAAAAAAAATGACAATAATTATAAGGTTTTTAAAAAAATCACGGTTTTAAAAAACTCACGCACCAAATGAACTATAGTTTCTAAGGGATTGTCCATGATTTACACAACGCTAAATTTATTTTAAAAACAGAAGTAGGAGATCTTAAGTTCTTTTACGCAGCAATTTTCATTAAACTTAACATGCTATTTTGATTTTTGATTTAACTTGATACTCTGCAAGAGAAAACCTTTTTGTTTTGTTTATTACTGAAATTTAGCCTAGTGTAATTTAATCTAAACAAATAATAAATCGCATAAAGCATTACAAGTTCAGTTACTATAACACAACTATTCAAACAAAAATTCTACTCCAACAAAAATATCAAGAGGCGAATGGAAAAAGATTTTGATTCATTTTGAGAAAAGTAAAAAGTTATGTGAGAATAAATCTCAAGAATCGTTAGGAACAATATTTAAATTCACAATAAATTGGCAAATAATTAACCGATATACCAGCTTGGCAGATTGTAATAAGCTAATTTAAATTTCACAAAAATAGACAAAAGATCAATGCCAGGAATAATAGAAAAATTGATTAAAAAGAGACAAATAGAAATAAAAAAGTTTGATGCTTATAGTTTTGATTATTTATTAGATATAACGAAAGAGGATGGACTTTGGTTGCATACTGAAGATAAAAATCTTTATTTAAAGGAATTAAGCAACATCTGGTAGAGTGGGATCAGGGCTGTCATTAAGGGAAGGGGGGTGTCCCCCCCCCTTCCACACACACAAAGCTGTCATTTAAGCATTTGAGTTGGCACATGGAGCAAGTTTTGAACTATAGTTGGCAAATTGCAAATATTGAGGACCTTTCCCCCCCCCCCATAGAAGACCTCTTCGGGACGGCCCTGAGTCGGATATACTGCAATGTAACCTGAAGAACCTAAAAGAATACATCCGCCAAAGAAAGTTAAAATTGAAAACATTCCATCAATCAGGGTTGCCACTGTTATTTAGGAACAAAATTCCCTGATTTTCCCTGATTTTTTTGCCAAAAATTTGCTTTTTTTCCCCTGATTTTTCCCCTTGAAAATAGCTTGATATTTCCAGCATTTAAATGCCCAAACTTAGCATTAAAACTTCCCTAATAACCTCAGAGCATTTTATCCCCAAATGAGTAATTAACCAATCAATTTGCTTAAAAATTAAAATAAATAATCAAATACTTCAATCAACATATGAAATTTTTCTTTGAACCAGGGTATATTTAAAATGGATATGTTCAACAGGCATTGAAAATCTGTCAGACTTGTCTAGGATACAAGATAACGAAATTCAAAAAAATGAAGTGAATGTAATAAATTTCTAACTGTATGTTTTACATACATCGTTAATACTTTTTTTTTTTCTTCCCAATATTCTTTGATCTAAAAGCATTATCACGCTATTTTCTTTTGCTTGGAGTATTCTATTTTCCTCCAAATAGTTTTTTTATTGTAATGAGGCGCTACAACACCATTTATCATTTCATTGTTTATTTCTATTTTGTGAGCCTTTAATTTGTTTGACACCATAAAATCCTTGATAGTGCGGCAAGATATAAGTGACAGTCCTTTCATTTTTCACTGAGTATATTACTGGTAATACTGAAACCTCTCTCAATTAATGCTTGCCCATGACATAAAAATAAATATCAAAACTTTTGACAAAACCTTACAATCTACACCAACTTTATTCGTTTCAAAATAAAAGTAGATAAACTTTTCTCTAACAACTTTAAAAATTGTATGAAAGCTTGATCACATTCATTTGAAGTAATATGTGAGCAAGAAAGAAGTAGATGTAGTACAGATTTTATCTGATGAAGAAGATCAGCTTTTTGTTTAGAAAGATTTGACACTGGATTGATGCAAGCAGTTGCTTCCAGAAAAGAAAATTGATTTAAACTTCTTTCTATTATTTTTTCCAGAATTCCAAAGATAATGAGACAGCAATCTTTTATGAATCTATGATGACATCCTGAGATAATGCATCCTTTTTCCTCAATTCAATAATGTCATGATCTGGAGCAAATCCTATTATCATTAATTTTAATAGCAGAAAGTTTTCCTTTTTTGTAAAATCATATTATTGAAGTTTCCTGTGATTAACGATGCTAAGGAGATCTTGTTTTATAATTAAACCCATTAAACTTTCAACAGTTGAGAACAAATCTTCAAAAAGAAAGGGAATCATTTGGGCATTGGTTTGATATCTCAGTAAGATTTTCTGCAAAAAACTTGCAATGTAACCAAAAAACTTCAATTTAGTCAGAATTAACTTATCTTTTGTTCCTTCGAACCAGAGTTGTTAGTCCTTGACCTAAAAATTTTGGTCTTGGCATTGATTGTTTTGGCCTTAACCATAACCTCTTGGCCTTGCCCTTGTAACTTTTAGCCTTGATCTTGGCCTTGGACTTATAATTAGCAGCCTTGGCCTTGGTCTTGATAATTTTGGCCTTGTTAACAACTCTGCCCCAAACACTTGTCACAGCTCTTTCATTTTGGTTACTTACTTTTAGAAAGAGTCTCCCAATACTTGGTTATTTTTTTTTTAAATTCTCCCAAAATAAACAAAGTCTATCATCAGTTTTTTGGTCTACAACTCAGCGTGTAGAGCAAAATGCACAAGGAAAATTCTCACATTTAGTAACAGTTACATAATCAGCTCTTCTAGCTGAAGAATCATAAAAAAGGTTGTATGATGCTTTCATTAACTTCTTTATATTCCATTCAGCAGATTGAAAACCCGATTTGAAACCATGTATCAGATGATGGTTACAACTTCCAACGTTAAGAAGTTTAGGAAGCTCTTGTTGATTATGCTGCAATTCAAGAAGATTAAGAAGGGAACAGTTCACATTTGTACCTTCCATACTTAGTTGAGTCATACTTTTAAGTAAATTCTTTGCTGTGGGGTAACCTAAAAATTTATAGTCAAAGTATCTGGATTCAACACAATTTAAATTGCCGCTCTAAAACTGAATATTTAGATCCAATTGGACATTTTTGCCTATTATCAGCCATTTTTCAAACAAAGGATCAATTAACCATTTTTCTTTGAATTATGTTGCAAACATTAAATTAATGTAAACACAATATGATTAATTTTTTTTTTAAATGTTAAACATTAACCCTGGTACCCTTAAAAAGGAAGATTTTTATTAGAAAAAATTTAAAAACATTAAAGAAAAATAAAAACGTTCCCTGATTTTCCCTGATTTTTTCCTAAATCAATCGTTTCCCCCTGATTTTCTCTGATTGTATCTAAGTTTCTCTGATTTTCCCTGAATTCCCTGATTTGGTGGCAACCCTGATCAATGTCATCAACTTCAATTCTGAATGAATACAAAGAGAAACACCAAAGAAGATAAAAAGATACTAGGTTAAAGCCATAAGTATTTAAAAATGGAAATTCAAAGACAAAGACTTTGATAACTTTTGAATGAGCATGATTTATGGGGATCTTTTAAAAATGATAAGGACAGACAATACAAATGTTAACAATTGGAAAATAAGTGGTGTGATAAAGAGATTAATGACACATTTTGAAAGTGTTATTTTTCAGAATCCTCTCTACAATGGTTGTCAACACCATACATTAGACCGCCTATTAAAGTTATGTCTGAATAGGGAGTGTGGATAGTGCAGAAAGAAAAATACAAGTGGTAGAGGCGGGAAGGATGCTATTTTTTTCCACTTTTTTTTGATAAAATTTATAAAATACAATACATAAATGAAAATGGTCCTAAAGATGTTAATTAAGTAAGAATTAATGAGATAAAAAAGTCTAAGAAAACAAGAAAAACAAGTTGGAATTGAAAATATAAAAACAAATTTTAATTATAAAATAATTTAATAAATACCTGTAATAATAACAGTACAGACTACATGAAAAGCATTATTATTTGACTGTTGAAATGTGAACTTGAATTGAATTTTGGCATTGACAGTCATTAAATTTCCTATTTTGACATACAATTTAGCATTCTTTCTTCTAGCAACAAAATAAGTTTTATATTCATTTTTTTCTGTAGCAATACAATTCCATTTTTGATCGAACGTGTATTCCACTTTAGCACATTTTTTGCCATAAGGTAAATGAAACTCAAATATGAAACCATATGGAATTATGCTTATGCCAGTACTATAAGGAGAGAGAGGGAAAAAAATGACTTTTATATTTTATAAAGCTAATTATTTGCTAAATCACAGAGGTTAATTAATCATCACTGTATATAATAAGTGGCTAGTGTCAAATCCTAGCTTAAATGCAAACTTTTTTGAAACAGGGCCCCAACAAAATTATTAAATTTAGAGGGTTTGATAGCAGTGGCTAGGAAAAAATTTAAAATACTTTATATATTATAAATTTATGCATACATTTACTACTTATTAAATACTGTCATATATATATATATATATATATATATATATATATATATATATATATATATATATATATATATATATATATATATATATATACATAGATATATATATATATATATATATATATATATATATATATATATATATATATATATATATATATATATATATATATATACATATATATATATATCTTTATATGCTTATATAAAATTATGACTTAAAATATACCTAAAATATACTTATTATATAAAATAAAAATTGAAAGAAGATGCTCAAGATTTATATTAGAGGAACAGCATAAAAGGGATTTTCCAGAATTATCAACGACTAACAATGAAACTTTAATTACTTTTAAAAACAAACTTTTTAAACTAAATTAAAAAATAAATTCTAAACAATTTAAAATAAAGATCAAATCCACAAATATAATTGAAACAATGGTAATTAAAAAATAATTATAATAAAAAAAAAAAAATGGCTTACTCTTTCAATGAAAACTCATCTAAAATTAAAAAACAAAATCTTTTTAACTTGAAGTAAATTATTATAAGAACTCATTTCTAATAACAAAAAAAAACTTTTTTTTATAGCAATTTATAATTATTAAGGCTAATACTAAACTAAATAAATTGTTTAGTTTAGTATTAGCCTTAATAATTATAAATTACTATAATGGACCATTATAGCAATTTATAATTTATAATATTATTCAACATTAAAGCGATTTATAATTTATATTGAATATATATATATATATATATATATATATATATATATATATATATATATATATATATATATATATATATATATATATATTATTATTAGCCTTAATACAAATTACATTTAGGTACTATTAGCCTTAACACAAATATATATATATATATATATATATATATATATATATATATATATATATATATATATATATATATATATATATATATACTATATATATATATATATATATATATATACTATATATATATATATATATATATATATATATATATATATATATATATATATATATATATATATATATATATATATATATATATATATATATATATATATATGTGTGTGTGTACTATCGCCTTAGTACAAATTTTGCAAATTTGGTTCCTTTGGAACTAAATTTGCAAAATTGAAAATTTTTGGTGAAAAATTTTTGGTGAAAAAGATTTGCAAAAATAAAATTTTTAGATTAAGCAGGTTTTTGCAAAACCTGCTTAATCTAAAAATTATAGATTTGTATATTTCAAAATGACAAAATATTTGTTATTTTAAGATCTACAAAACTCGCTAACTAATGACAATAAGAAAGAGCATTGACAACTTTAGCTCTATAAAAAATCTAACGGATAGAAAAAACTTTTGGTTTAAATTTTCTCAAAGATTAAATATATCTACTTTACGAACAAATTTTGATTTGGCCTTATACTTTGCTGAAGAGTTATTGATGTTTTGGTTTTCCAATTAAATTTCATGAAATAAAATTTTAATTTAAAAATAAAAGTTAGCAAATTAACTTTCATATTAAACTAAATACAATTATATTTGTTTTCAATCTAATTTTGAGTAAGATAATTAAAAAAAATCGTATGTGTGTCATGTGATTTAAATTTTTACAAAGTTACCACATAAAATTGTTTAATATTTTGTAAATTTATAAATTTGTTACTTGTTATTTTCATTACATTACAGTTATGTTCTTTGCATTGTTATTTACATTACATAATAGTTATGTCATTAAACTAAACAATATTATGTAATATTTTTTTATTGATTGTTTTATTGTAAACTTATTTGTAAGCGGAAGAAAAAAAAAAAATTATCATAGCTCTAATAATCTAATTTATAATCCCTTCCCACAAATAATTAGGCTAATACAAGGACGAATCCATTTCACAGTGGGCCAGAAATCACTTTTACTGGACAAAATTCATAACTAATTTAGTATTGAAGCTATATTCACTAAAATTAGCATGAGTATTAGTATGATGTCTGAGAGTTTTTATTTCGTTGCTATGGATACCTTTGTTTTGCTTAGCAACAACTTATTTTTGTAATCTGCAGATATTTTATGAGTGCTATATTCCCTGTTTTTGACATGAGTACCGCACTTATTATAAATGTGATAATTTTTTTTAATTTAATTGCTATGGATACTTATATTGTTTAGTTACCAGATACTTTCCTTAGTTACAAAGATGTAAGTTGACATTTGAATATTCAATCGGATTTTCGACCCACCCATAATAAATAGCAATTAATTTTTTAGGTTAATAATGTTTTTGATAAAATAAAAAGAAAAAAGTAGTGCAAGAAAATATTGTTAATTTTAAATTACATCAAAAAATTATAAAACATTAACATTGTTTAAATATTGTTTAAGTAATTGTAAAAACATCTGAAGGAAATGCTTTATGATTTGTTCGATGTGATGTTCGATGTTTGTTCGCATTGATGAAATAACAGGATCACTGGAAACTAGGAGTCTAGTGATAAGATCAGTATTCATTGCTTTTCTGGATGTTTTTTGGCTCAAATTATCGAGATAAGATTTGAAATCTTTATTTCTAGCCTCTTGAGCTTCCTTAGACATAAGTCCGATGGGTAATGTAAGGTTTTTAAGTATGTCATGTCAATGTATCAATACTTTGTGAACTGATTGAGCCATATAATACCATGGATAAAGGGACACATATAGTCTAACAGTGTCAAAACAATAATCCTTGAATTTTAAGCTGTCTATTTCATTTCCTTCAGAGAGTGTTACTAAGATAATATAAAATCTGAATATAAGGTTTTGATCAATACCCAGAATTTCAGCTGTTTGTTCATATGCTGCAAAAGTATGCCATGAGGTATTGCCATCATTGCTTGTTGCAGAACCACCATCTTTAGGGAAATCAATAACAAGTCCTATTTTGTTCATAAATATCAGTCTTAATCTTTTGTTAGCTAGAGATGTCTTTTCTTTGTGTTCTTTAGATCTTGCTTTTGTTTCTATTTTATATGCAATGTGCAAAACCATCTCAAAAAATTGAATCCATACATAAAGAATGGAAAGACCACATTTGAACCCTCTGTTAGTATAACCTATATTAAGGATATCAAGACTATTTATATTTTTTGAAGAGACATCACACACTGAACAGCATTGGTATGAGTTAGTTTTTTCTGATAATATCATTTGAGCTTCCCCATCAATCATTGTAAGTTCAATAATACACTTCACTTTAATAGAAGAACCGCAAACCTCTAATAAAATCATTCAAAGTATCTGTGATCTTCTTCGATCACAGATTCTTTGGATTCCGTTTTGTAAACAAATCTTATGGGTCTACAATAGGCTGTGGATAATGAATTTTAATTTCTCCAAACAGACACCTGTTCGTTACTGTTGTTAAACCCAGTCAAATCCAATGGGACTAGACAAGTTATTAATAATGACTCTTCACACTTTAAATCTCTGTTCATGTCAGGTTCTAATAAAACTTGTTTATAAATGCCTTGGCCAGTAGCACCATCAAAACCAGCCAGACGTAAGTGTCATTCTTTTTATTGCTTCGTCGTTCATTATCAAGTGCGTCAGCACAGGTTCCTGAACTGCACAGATACTTTGCAAGGAACTGAAGCTGAATAGTCCTCCACTGTTATTTTTGAAGGATAACATTTCAATTTTGCATCTCTGACATCATTGTAGGCGGGGTAGAGGTTATATTCTTTCTCCAAGGCTCCGCTTCTAATCAATTGATAGGAAGCTTTTGTCAGATTGCCATCAATTATTAAAGCTATTGTCTGCTGAATATTTAGTTGCTTTATCTGTATTTAAAATATTTAAAAAATTCTTGGCAGCACTAACAATAGATTCATCTCTAAATTTTTTATTAGCAGCAAAAAATAATTTACTGGATGAATGAAATTCAATTAAGCAAGATACACGCCGTTTTTTAGTTTTATTAGTTTTTTTATTAACTATTATCAAATGCAACTGGTTTTCAACCACGTCTACTTGCAGTTGGTTTGTTGTTTGTTTTTCTAACAATTAAATATTCATTAAGCCAATTTATTAACTTCTTTTCAAAGTTTTTAATAGTATAGTTTGCAGATTTCCACTTTTTTTTATACAAGTAAACAAATCGTAGAACAGCATGTCTAAAATCAACATCTTTAAAGTCAGCAATATTTAGTTGAATTAATTTTAATATAACTTCAGTAATATTTTGTTTTGAAATAATAAGATTGTTTTTTTGAAGAAAATTATGAATGTCTAAGTTTAATAAAGCCATATTTAAATAATTCTTATAAAAAAAATTTTGTATTTAAAAGTTTAATGTTATAATATATATGCCGCGTGGACTACTGATTCGTGTTAGTAATTAAGTTACTACAAGTGTTAGTAATTAAAATTAAAGTTATTAAATTAGGATACAGGGTGCGACAAATCGACAAATGTGCGCGCATTTCTTAAAAGACAATCAAAAAATAAACATCACGTTTATTTAATTTTGCTTGTGCAAACGTTGCCGTTTGATTAGGATTTTACAAAACGAACGTATTACTTCAGCATTAGTTTTTTTTTTATTATAAAAAGCACATATTTAATATGAAAAACAATTAAATTCACAGACTTATATTAATACCGAAATATAAGTACTTTTTTCAATTTTAAGTAAAATAGTAAATGCGCTATAGAAAAAAGTAATTTTGTTTTAGCATCCCAGTTGGCACTGGATTAAAAAAAGACGCCTTTTGAACGTTCAAAAGACGTCTAAAACGTGTATAAAACGTTTAAAAGACGTCTTTTTTACGTTTGTGTCCACTGGGATGGCTTTTGCATGCGCTCACAAAAGTATACATAATTTTACTTAAAATGAATGGTTTTGCAAAAACTTCAAAAGAAACCATGCTTAAACATTTTGATTATTGAAAAAAGCGATCGTAACGCTTAACGGAGGTTTCTTGTATGTTTTTAGCAACTACTTTAAAAGTTTAAAGCAAATGTATTCATTTTAAATAAAGTTTAGCATGCTTTTTATAAAAATTTTTTACTTTCCATAAAGTGAAACAATGTTTCACTTTATGGAAATGTTCAATAATGTCTAGTTTACAGCTAAATGGGCTGCCTTTTAACTTTAATCAAGCTAAAACAGAACTCATCTTGCACACCTGATGTAAAGTTTGCTGCTCTTCCATTTTTATCCATTTGTTTTCAACTATATTTCATAGTTTCAACTTTTTGAGCAAATAACTGGACAATAATTCTCTAAAATATTTTTAATCTGCGCGAACCTTCATTTTTTATAAGGTTTAAATAATTAAGTATACATATACTGTTAAAATTGAATGGTTTTTTCCAAAGCTTTCCAACTGCAACAACTTAATTAGAAAGTTAATACTAATCATATTCCATTATCAACCAAACACATAATACTTTTCTCTTTTTTGAAGTCCTGAGGCTAACTCTTGCCAAAATATTTTAGCAAGAATGATACAATCATTCAACCTCTTTGAAGTATACTTATTAACTGGTTACTGGTTCTAGAATTTTTTTTAAGTAGCTGTTCACTGCGTTTTAGAGTAAAGTAGAAAATTTCAAAATTTGATCACCCAGTTTGTTTTTTATAAAGCCTTTTAGGTAGCGGTGTTCCTTTATAATATATTTTATAATATATATAACTATTTATCTTTAGAATTGTTAAAACTTGAGAATTTAACTAAACCTCTACTGACTAGCACTTTAAAAGAAGATTTATTTTTAACTTCATTAAAGAAAAGTGAAAAAAAAAAAAATGAAATCTTGAATAGCCTCCTTGATAGCTTGAATAACGATTAAAAAATAAATAAAAAAAAGGTAATTAAGATACTTTGAAGCAATCTGTCTTTTTGACTACTTAAAACGTTTTGTTAAGAAAGAGACTTGAGATAAAACTTTTTTTTTGAAGCAATCTGTCGTTTAACTTATTTAAAACGTTTTTTAGAAAAAGACTTCAGATTAAACTTTTTTTTCGCAATGATTAAAAATCAAATTTATCCCATCAAAATTTGAATAGCATAAATTTGAAAGAAAAGTTGCGTAACTTTATACGCAAAGAAACTTTTGCAAAGACTTTGATTTTTTATATCTTTTAAATTTTTAAAATAATAGTAGAAGGTCAACCATAAAAAATTTGCAAAAACTGAATTGTTTTTTAAACTTTTCTCAAAAAATTAATTTAGAATAACTGGTTAAACAAGAAATATAGAATTTTGGACCCCCCTATAAATATGCGCGCACTTTGCATATGTGTAAAAAAAAGGTTTTTTGAAAAATTAAAATTGAATAAATTTTCCAAGCATCTTTGATATATTTAATAACTTATTAACTTGAATGAAAATTATTTAAATTTTATTTGACATAAATCTTTTATAATAGACGATTAAGTCAGCTTTCAAAAAAAACAATAAAAATACGATATGTCACGCCCTGTGATAAAAAATAGTTGACAGAGGCGATTGTTTCAAGATTATTGTAATTCCTTATTTTTAGTAAATAATTTCTTAATGAGAAATTATATTTCCATGATAAAATGGTTTGTAACTATCTTTTGAAAGCTTCTGTACTTATTTTACCTTAAACTCTAATCTGAATATTTTTTTCAATGACTGCCTTTAAATAAGTTGCATTAAAGTACTCAGGAAATTTTGTGGGAGTTTAATTGTAATTATGGAATTAATTAAATTAAAAATTGCATTTGTTTTTTAGCGCATTTTTTAAATGCGCTTATTATCAAAACTTGCAAAGAGCCGTGGTCAAGTTGTTTAACCAAAGAACTATATGCGTAGTCATGATTGCGATCGCACGCCTCTTAGTCATGCGTGCGATCGCACGCCTCTTACGAGAAGGCCTGATGCAGTGTTGATAAAGATTTAAAATTCATTCATGACTTTGGAAACATCCAAGAAACAGCTGTAGTCTTAGTACCAGGTGATTATGTCTGTGTTTCCAAGAAGCAGAATTGGTGGATAGGAGTCATTAGAGACATTATTCAGAAAAAAAAGTTTAATATGTCAAATGGTCCAGCACGGTTGTTTAAATGGGCACAAGTGGATAGCCAATGATGGACTCCAGATGTCCACATCGTTTGCAAAGTTGAAGTACGAATACAAAAACAGGACTTTGCAACTATTTAGCCAAAGACGACTTTATAAAAAATTGTTTTTCTTAGGAAATATAGATGTTTATATTTAAACTAATTTCAAGTTTGCTCAGTCCGATATGCCTTATCCGTACTTTTTTTTAATCTTTTTTTTTTTTGTTTAGTTTATAAATAATGTGAAGAAAAAGCATATATAAAATCACTTAAGTTGAGTATTTACTTTTCAAAAGGTTTCATTCATTATAACTTTGTTGTAAAACAAAATTATAATGTATGATAAAACCTTTTGAACTTTATTAATAAAAATAAAGTTATTAAACTGTTAATTTCTAATTTGATTAACTTGATATAGATTTCCTGATTTTTAAAATATTACAAAACTTTGTGTTCATATCAAGTGAACGTAAGGCCAAAAAAATTGGTTCGTAAAGTTAATATACATCTTATCTTTAAGAAAATAAAAATGTTTATTCAGTCAGATTTTTAATAGCTATAATTGTCAATGCCCTTTTTTACTGTCGTTATTAAGAACAAAACTAAAGTTTTCGGATTTAGCAGATTTTAAACTCTTTTGGTAGCCAATTACAGCATTGCAGCATTACTTAAAGCACCATAGATGGGTAATAATAAACGGGGCACTTAACCCCTTCATTTTTTATTCAAAATCAAACAAACATCAAATTGCTGTAAATCCTAATTGGATAAAAATTTTATTAAAAAAGTTTACAATCTTTTCTAAGTAATGTCTCTAAACATTTGTACCAAGTTTTAGAAAATTTGGTGATGTAGGGTGCAGATTTGTCTTATTTTGTGTCATAAAATTTTTACCCATGGATAACTGTAGATTGGAAAAGTGTTGCAAAGGTAAGTTTTGAATTTTCCGTAAATTTTCCTTAAAGTTTTGAAAATTTACCACCTGGTAAATTTTGAAATTTTTTATTATTCTTTAAAAAAAAAAATTTTAACAAAAAGTGTCATAAAATTTTTACCAATGGATAACTGTAGATTGGAAAAGTGTTGCAAAGGTAAGTTTTGAATTTTCCGTAAATTTTCCTTAAAGTTTTGAAAATTTACCACCTGGTAAATTTTGAAATTTTTTATTATTCTTTAAAAAAAAAAATTTTAACAAAAAGTAACCCCGGTAAATTTACCAGGAAATTTTGAATCAAATTTTACCGGAAAATTTACATCACCAGACTATAAATAATTTGCGTAAATAAAAGGAATATTGTAAACTATGGAAACATGAACCTTTCTACTTTCAGATAAAGCACATGCTGATATATGTGTCATTAGTTTTTTCACTTAAATTTAAATTCCTTTCTATAACATTAAACTCTTTACAAATACTTGAAAACCCTTTGTTTTTAATGTGTTGTAATTATAAGGATCTTATTTGTTACAGGAGCTTAAGAACTTTTGCTATTTTGAAGGTATTTCAAAGTATTGTGTTGTTAAAAATCCTTTAAAACTAATTTAATTATAAACAATTTCTCCCTCATTAAAAAGTAAATAAATAAACATACTCACCATCTAAAAGTTCAACAAGATCATTTCTCATAATTAAATGAAGTTGTTTTTTAAGTATACTTAAATTATTAAACCCAACAACATTATGCTTTTCCAAAATTGAAATTAACTCCAAAAACGATGTAACATTCTCCAGATCAGCAATATCTGAGTTTAAATATTTTAAATATTCAATATCATCTCCAACGAATAGACTTGCAATTGTTGCCATTTTTTGCCAATATTCATCTTTATGCAGAATTTTCATTTGTAAACAATCCATTTTCAATGGTAGTTGTTTGAAATTTTGTGTTAATATTTTAATAAAAACTATGCAAAAAAAAAAAAGAAGTATAATTTAGTATTATTCAAATAAAAAGTATTTTAGAATTGCTGATAAATTATAATTTCAATTTTGATGTAAACTTTCATACATACTAAAACATAACTGGTAAAATGAAGTTAGAATATTTTTATTAAAAAGTTTAAAAAATAATTTTTTTGGACACATAACATACTTATAAACTGTTTAGTAAATGTAGGGGAAAGTTGCGTAAGACGAGCAGGTTTCTAAGATTTTATAATCTCTTTTACGGGTAGACTATTGATTTTTTCGCGAACTTTTTTGCTTAAGGATATTCATACAAGTTCGACGGTATTATTTATTTTAATTTCGTGGTTGTACAGTTAATATTCTTTGATTGTTTTATTATTAAAAACACTTACTATCCTTGTTATAATTTTTTACAAATCAATTTTTTGTAATTACGTCACACGGTCGTTTAGATGTGGAAAGTTATTATACGCAAGCGCAGTGTCAAATTCAAATATTATAATTTTAAAGATGGTGACGGCCTTTAGATACCAAAATTTTTTCTGAGTAGCAACGATATTTTTAAAGTTTTACTTAGTAGTTATTATTTGCATATTTTTGATAGAATGAAATAATAATAAAGATAATTGAATTGTTGATTCAAAAATGATAAAAATAATATAAAGATATTTAAATATATAAAAAACTGTAATTCTCTGCTACATTTATCTGACTGTTAAAAGCGTGATTTGTTTACATTTTCAAAACTGTTTTTCTAAAAATCTGAGCGATACAATTTAATAATTTTTACTTTTTTATTTCGAATAATCTTATCTTAATTTGAAATTGTTTTCAGATCTGAGTATTCAATTTTTTTCTAAACAAAAATAGAATTCACCCAACACTACTTTTGTAGATGTATGATACATTTATATTAAGGTATATAGCTAATATATATATATATATATATATATATATATATATATATATATATATATATATATATATATATATATATATATATATATATATATATATATATATATATATATATATATATATATATATAATGTATAAAATAAAATATTGTACATATAACAGCAATTTTTTTTTCATTAAAAAAATGATAAGTTTAGCACAAATAATAAAAAAAAAAAAAATGTATCATAATATTTATTAAAACATTAGTAATGTTTATTATGATCCGCCCTCTCCCAACTGCCCGTGTGTATAAGGAAACCTAAGTAAAAATCATGAACCTATTTGAGAAAAATTTTACATCTTCATTTATTTTAAATAAAAACAGTGTATAATTTTTTTTGCTAAAATAAGGTTTAATTGTGGTTGTTGTTGTTGTTGTTTTTGTTGCTGCTATTTTTCTTAAATATAGTTTTTGTTTTGTTTTATTTATTGTTCCTAATAATAATTTTAAAAGTTAAAACAAAAATTATAATTTCAAAAGATAAAACAATAATAATAGTTTTAAAAGTTTATTATAAAAGTTATTATTTTAAAAGTTTATATAACTTATGTCTAAATTTTACATGTTAGAAAGTTATTTAGAATTCTTTTTTTCAAGTTTTTTATATATAATATTGTTTAAGTACTCTTTTAAGTCAAATGTTCAAAAATCAAAAACAATTAAAGTACTTTTTAATGAAGAATGTATTTTCAAAGTGATTCTTCTTATCTTGTTTAAAAAATACAAATTGGGGAAGGTTGAGTATGTTGAGTTTATTAACAGTCTATTGCTTTTTTGAAGCCGAAAAATTATATTTTTTATATCTCACTCATCTTGAGCGTCTAAAAACTTATCATCTTTAGCAATTTTACTAAGTACAAAAAAAAAATTCCTCAAAACGAAAATTTAAACGAATAAATTTTGCCAAATAGCCGACTGCCGACTAATTTTGCGGAAAAACCCGACTATAACTTGAAAATCACCTTCTTTGGGGAGGGGGAAGGAGGTGTAAACCCCCTCCCCCGTAAAATCGCCTCTGAGTACTATCATAATTTAAATAGCATGACAACAGCTAATGTATAACTTCATATAACCTATGGAATAAGCAGAAAATAAGCATAAAATATTAAGGATGTAATAAATTTTTGATTATCTAGTTTTGTTCTGACGTAATTACAAAATATTGATTTGTAAAAAATTATAACAAGGATAGTAAGTGTTTTTAATAATAAAACAATCAAAGAATATTAACTGTACAACCACGAAATTAAAATAAATAATACCGTCGAACTTGTATGAATATCCTTAAGCAAAAAAGTTCGCGAAAAAATCTCGTCTACCCGTAAAAGAGATTATAAAATGCTCGTCTTACGCAACTTTCCCCTACATTTACTAAACAGTTATAACTATGTTATGTGTCCAAAAAAACAATTTTTTAAACTTTTTAATAAAAATATTTTAACTTCATTTTACCAGTTATGTTTTAGTATGTATGAAAGTTTACATCAAAATTGAAATTATAATTTATCAGCAATTCTAATATAATAATACATATTGTTTGAGATGTTTTAAACTTGTAATTTATGTATTGAAATATTTAGCCTATAGTTCTGGAATACTTAATGTAAAGTTCCCTTCAGTGTATATAGTGTGTTTATATCATTAGAAGTAATAAAAAAAGTTAAAATAGAAGTTACCTCACAAACGCTAAAGCGATCTGAATTCTGCGTATATTCAAATAAATGAGCCAAATACAATAACATAAATTTTATATAAAATAATTTTATATAAAATAGTAGGTGATAAAAAAACAAACGAGGTAATTAGTTTTACACTCGGAAACGTGCAAGGTGAATAAAATCCAATATTGAAAGCGCAATGCTATACATCTTATACAATATAATGTGAATTATAATAACATGTAGGCTGAAATGGTTATAATTATCTACTAACAAGGAAGAACTAAGATCAACAATTTGTTGACAGTTTGTTGTAATTGATAATAAACAATTTGCTGTAATTGAGAATGATGGAATAATAATAAAAGTTGAAAAAGTTTTAATTGCTTTTATTTAGTTTTTGGTTTTAAAATGCATTCATTAAATTGGTATTAGGTTAGTGTTTTATTACCCGGTGGATAATTGGCTAGCGACATTCGTAACAATAAAAACAGCGATTTGACCGTAGCCAGATAAGCTAGCGAATAGCTAGGTATATAAAGTAGCGACGAGTTAGCTATATAAGCTAGCTAGTAGCTAGCTATATAAAGTAGCTAGTAGCTAACTATATAAGCTAGCAACTAGCAGGTTTTATAAGCTTGTGACTAGCTATTTATAAGCTACGACTCTCTAAAAACATATTGTAACGATAAAGACTGCAAATCTTTATTTAATTAGCAATCCTTATCCACGAGGATTGCTAACCAGATAAGCTAGCAACTAGCTAGCCATATAATCTATCGAGAACTTGTAAAAATATAGACATTAAATTGGCCACGCAAAACTAGTGATCAATCATAAAATAAAACGACATCAATTTTTTTTATTTTTTTATGTTAATACTTATGTGCTTTAAGAATACCTGACGGTCTTATCACAGAGCACCGCAGGCGACTATTTAACTAGTTAAGTTCACGTCTTCCGTACCAAAATTGTTTGTTGTGGTAGAGCCGGTGTCGAAATATATATATATATATATATATATATATATATATATATATATATATATATATATATATATATATATATATATATATATATTTGTATATATATATATATATATATATATATATATATATATATATATATATATATATGTATATGTATATATATATATATATACATATATATATATATATATATATATATATATATATATATATATATATATATATATATATATATATATATATATATATATATATATATATATATATATATATATATATATATATATGTATATTGATTTTAAATTAAATGATGCGTTGACCATGTATTTAAAATAAAATATTATACCTACAAGCGCGAGGAAAAGAAACTCCATAAATAAGGCTATTTCGAGTTAAACAGTAAAAAAATACCTCTCATTGCTCAAAACATATCAAAAAACTTACAAGATATATGTTTATAAAGGTTTTGTTAATCAAACAACTTAGAATGATTGGTCAAAATTCTAAACAATAGCAAGTTCAACTCTTGAACCAATCAAAAATAATTTAAATTCCTAATTTAGAAGAAACTTTCCCAATATACCCTCATAGTTTTTCCTCGTAAATTTTTTTTGCCCCAAGCTGACAAACGTGGGACAAAGCAGTTTTGAGAACAATATATTTGGAAGACAGAGGACTGGATCTTTATATGATTTTAGTGCAAGTGTCAATGGATCCTGGAGGTGGGTTTATGAAGATATGTGTTAATGTCTTTCATATTAATGAAAAAGAAACACCCGCTTTTGATAATCAATATCTGGATTCCAGTGTTCAAAAAGTACATTTTTTGGCAGTTGTAGCAAATATACCAGAAAGTTACAACAATGTTAGAAAGACTATTGAGCTATTAAATCTTGACAAACTTTCTTTTTTTGCAGGTTATTTAAATAAAACATGATTTTTTTTTTAATTGTATAAATTTGATATATCAAATTTAATATAGTATTATTTATTATAGTAAATTTTAACAAAACAAAAAATTGATAAAAATAACATAATTATAAGAGTTTTCAATAAATTCCTAATTAACTCCTTCAGTTACATGGTTCGTAAAAAAATGCGTTTAGCATTTTATTTGAAGATCATATAAAATTGCTTTTAGCATTTTATTTGAAACGTTGTTTTGGAAATTAATTCTTACGAGCTTTCATTACCCGTAAAGTAATGAAAGCTCGTAAAAATTAATTCCCAAGTTGGTAAATTTATTGCACACCAACCTTTTCTATACTTATTACTTACTTAAATGTATTTTAGTAAGAAGTAGAAAAATAATTAAAAAAATATATTTTATAAAGCTATGAA